AAAAAAGTTAAAATACAGACGTAGTCCGCCTTTTGCTCTCTTTTATATGGTATATAAATTTTTTTGTGGAAACTTGTATTACAGGTGCTATAACGGGTCAAAGGTCAGATCTTCGAAAAAATTAAAAACTTAATATTTCAGAATATTTTGAACAGATTTTTTTATAATTCGTATCGTTGTAAGGGTGATTTAACCCCGTTTCTTGTAATATGCATATTTGTATACTTCGTATATAAAAACTTGAGAAAAAACACGTTTAAATGAAAAAATACCGTTAAACAAAAAAATTACACACCGATTTTTAAAAAATTTACATCGTTGTTAAACCGATTACACCCCCTTTCATCTAATATGCATATTTGTATACTTCGTATTAAAAATTAAAAAAAGAAACTCTTAAAAGGAAAATAAACCAATTTTTTCTTATAAAAAAACATTTTACAGAAAAATTACTAATTAGTAATACAATAGAATACCGTATTTAAATAAACAAATAATTATTAGTGTTTTAAGCATTAATTCGTTCTTGTTCACCCACAGCCCTGTTAAAAATAAAGCAAAAGTATATGTAAGAGAAGTCTAAGGCATATAAAAATATAAAAATACCATGGTTTTTGATTTTTTACATAACAGGTTATACATAAAAATTAAATGTAATTTTCCGTTTTATTTAAATAAAGCATGCAATTGTATTACTCATTAGTAAATTTTTTTTGTCAAATATTTTTTATAAGAAAAAATTGGTATTTTTTCCTTTAAATGTGTTGTTTCTCAAATTTTTATATACGGAGTATGCAAATATGCATATCAAAAGAAGGGGGTTTTAATCGTCCTTCAGCCATACTAATTTTGTAAAAAACATACAAATTAAACTAAAATTAATTCAACTTTCTCTTATTTTGCACCACAGCTGACAATAAAGTAAAATTTTCTTTGATGCACATACATATGTATGTATTAAAGAGCTGTGCAAAACCTTCTAAAAGCCACACTTCATTAAATTAAATTAAATAATCCCAACGGCTTTTTACCCTCCATTCCCGCCCAACCGACACGAGGGGCGCAGCCCGCATGACGTACGGAGCCATTTTTTTTATTAGTTTTTTGGTGCCGAGTAGTGGAAACAGGAGTTTGTTAAGTGTCGAGATCTAAAACTATTCAGCTACAGAATCAAATTCATCAGCTGATTGGATATGCTAAAGATAGTATTTCAATTATTGAGAGTGGAAATAATAGTTTTCTTTATAGTAAATATCGAGTCCGATACGTCAAACGTGCTGGAATGACAGTTAAAATCTTGACATAAACCACGGAATGATTCGTTTAGTTCAAAATTAGTTTTGCATGGCTTTAAAAATGGCATTAAAATTTACCTCAGCCAGGAGGGCCGGGCTATTATTCAAGCCTGTCATTAATTTTACGATAAATATTATACCTAGCATTTCTCTACGACTTGCGAGTGTAGGCAAATTTATGAGCTTTAGACGACTTGTGTAAGGGGGGAGATTGTAATCTGAATCCCAGTTAAAATTACGCAATGCAAAAAGCAAGAATTGTTTTTTAATTGATTCAATCCTTTCTGAATGAACTTGGTGGAAAGGTTCTACGACAAGCTGCGCAAAAATACAAACACTTGAGCATTTGAAGTAGAGTTTGCTACATCGACGATAGCGCTTGAGTTGTGTTGTGAAGCAAAATGTAAAACCGAAAAGATGGGTTGAAGTGAAATAGCGGCAAATCATTGCAAGCACACCGAGTGCCCTAGAACATTTCCATGTATAACAACTCATTACCAAGTGTGTCCACAAATGAAAGTGGTATACCCTGTGCCTGTGTGCATACGAGTACGTAATTGATTATGTACTCTGTGCTTTTTATTAAAAATGGGTTGTTTTTATTATGGTTTTATTATATTAATTGTTAGTTTTAAGTTTTCTCATTAACATAATTTTATCCTATTTAACCAAATGAAAATTATACAACCCACTGCAAAATGCTACGGCCGTTACGGTATATTTATTGATTTATTTTTAAATTAATGTTAATTATTTTTTTTATAAAAGTAACATTAGGCGTGTTTTTTTTACACGCATACGTATATGCGCTTAAAAATTGTATGGACCTATAAGCCAGGCTTCCCAAAGTAGGCTAGAGTTACTAGTGGTGCGGGCAAATTCTTTAAACTTTCCCTACACAATGCAAGCGGTTTGTTCAACTTCAACATGGCGGCCAGAAAATGAAAATATTTTGACTTTTATTAAAATTACCTTCAGCGGCTCTTCAAAGCCCATACACAATACAAATGGCTTGCAGCAAAGGGATATTTCGCTTGGTTTGTCAAGCCGCTTGTGTGGGGTATTTCGCTTTTAAGCGTAGCTCGCCAGTACGTTTTTTCAACGAAAAATTGAATCAGAAAATTTTCAGAAAAATAGCCGAAAAGTACCCTTTTCACAACCATTTTTGTTACCTTTGTAGACCTAATCCGCGTTTCATCCACTTTTTTCTCGGTTTTGGATTAATGTTCGGGTTTTTTTCTGGCTGGACTGTTGTCGTAAGAAGCGCAGCAGCTTCGCGCACGTGTATATGTTACTTATTCTTTGGAACTTCACAATCACACTGTGAAAAAAAACTTGTGAATTTTTTTAGTTTGCAACCGACGTAGTGGGACTTAATGTTCTTCTCGTGTTAATGAGGTACCCATTCGCATTGCAAATCGAAGAAGAACTTTTGAATTTGTACAGAAAAATGGTTTGAAATGGAGCAAGTGTGCGGATATTTGCAGTGGTTGGAAAAACGAAAGGAGCGATGTCTAGGACGAAGCAAGAGGCAGAAAACGTCAGAGAAGACACTGTATGATCCGTCGGTATTCCCAGGCGACTAGGAAGATGCCGCCACTAGATTAAAAGCCCGTATTGGATGACGCTGCGAAGCTAACAGAGGCCTGCGAAATTAAAATACATCTTTGGTTTTTTCTAGCCCGTCGAGATTTTTTTTATTGGTGACATGTATATTTTAGAATTTCTAGCAATTTGCGTGAAAACCCCACAAATAAACAAAGAAAATCAGAAAAACGTACATATGTAACTTCGAAGTTAACGCTAAGAAAATGGATAACAGCCGGTTTCACCAGCAATTTAAATGGAAAATGATTTTTTATTTTCTGTCAATTTCCATATATATTCATAAAATTAAAATCATTTATCCCTTAAATTGCCTTCGCGGTTACGCGCATTCCCAGCGTTAATGTGGAAGATTTGACTCTGAGTATGTCTACAGCTGGATAACAAACCCGTTTTCATGTGCCCCGAAAAGTAAACCTACTGAGATGACAAATTAAGCTTTTAAAAACCTTCTGAACATCAGTGAAGACAGCACTTCGGATATTAAATACTACGAAGGGAGCAAAAGGGTTCTGGTTGCAAGTGTATGCAGGAAACACTGCTGTTGGCAAGATTGCATTAAAAATACTAGTGCCTTTGCTTTTACATTTCTATGTGAGACTGCATTTTCAACAAAGGCTTACATAAACAAGTAATTTTTAAGCAAAAACTAAACCGACTTCAATTCCCACATAAAAATTTAAGATTATCGTTAATCTCTTCAAGATCCAATGATCGGATTTAAACCAAATTAGAATGGGACCACCTGCGAGGTAACACATTTCCTTTAAAAAAAAAAAAACAATTATAGTAATCGGTTAACGTGATCCAAAGTAGTGCGGTAGCATACATAAAAAAAATAATAAAAATATATTCCGACGAATTGATAACCTTCTCCTTTTTGTGAAGTCGGTTAAAAACAAATACACCAGCGTCAAATGGTTTCAGGGTAAAATTGTCAAAGCTCAGAATAAACTTAAAGGATGTAATGAAATCATCAAAACAATTTCAGTCCTCACATTAAAGCTAAAGGAGCATAAAGTTTGCATTGTGTTTTCTGGTTTTCGTAGACATTTGAAGAGTAGGTGTGCCGTGAAATTTTTTTTACCGTAAGGGTGCCGCGGTGAAAAAAGTTTGGAACCCCTGCTCTAAGCGACTAACTTTATGTGCATTTATGAATAGTTGTCGATAAAATCAAAATTACTTGTTTTGAGATCGAAATTTTCGACAATTGTTTTTTTACATGTTAAGCGTAGATTTATATGCGGGTAAAAAAACACAGCTATTGTCTAACAAAAACCATATGAATCCAAATTTCAAACTTTGCACAAAAATTAAAAGAAATAAGAAGTTTCATTAAAGTTTCTACACGTTTTTTTAGAATTTTTAAAAAAATTCCAAGTATGCAGTTTTATAGCCCATTCAGTTTTAGTATGTACAATAAAGTGCAAGCTTGAAGTGTGTGAGGACCAAATATCCCTGAAGAAATTGGCCCACACAAATACCCGTCATCATAGCAGCCAGCTATGCAATAAGCCACAGCAACACATGCCAAAGCAGACAGCCACACAACAAAGCGCAGCAACAGAAGTCGGAGCAACACCTGCCAGCCTCTTTGTTGCTATGACAACGCAACATCGCACAGAAACATGTAGCTGCACGACCAGGCAACATCAAGCACATTAGGAGCGTTCCTTATCTCCCAGAAATAGTCAGAAAAAGTCCGAAGTAGTCAGATTTAGTCCAAAAAGCGTACCTTAACTCGGAAATGACAGCAAAAATGAGAGAGCAACAGTCAGTGAGAGTGACTCTCATCAGTCCGAAGTAGTCAGATTTAGTCAGAAGAATTTTTTCTGGCAAAATCCTGAAAAGTGTCAAACTCAACTGAATTTAAATTAACGGAAATTAAAGAATACGCTAAAAGTGAGAATAATCTAAAAAGTAAAAGAAATGAATTGAAGTTGGAAGAAGGCAAAAAAATAATTGATATAGCAAGTGTTTATTGTGCTTGTGCTTGTGTG